TGTGTTAGATTCTTCTGGATTTTATCAAGAGACATCGTTTGAGTTTATCATTCAAGGTATTTGTTTTATATTAAGATTATTTTGCATTTCATCATATTTTGTGTATTATTTTAAGTATATTTTCTCGGCGGTCGTCTTGTGCGCGTTATATTTGCAATGCTGGGTGAAAGAAACAAATTATAAAGAGCTCGGTATATTATATTTGCCTTCCTTTTATATAAAGTTCGCTGTTGTCTGTTGTTAAACACTTACATCCCATAATGATTCATTTCTCTTTAGATCGCTAATGATACTCTTCAGGGAAGATTCTTAATTATTTCTTCCTTTGTGTCTATTTTTATTCTGCTCTCTTTTTGTTCTACCAGAAACGCATTGGAAATAATAAAGGTGCAGAATAATTTAGTCATGTTTTATCTTGCCCAGCCTTCACTTGTCTGTGTATGAACCACACCTATGAGTCCAACAAGAGTGCGAGACGGACAGGTCATCTACTTGTACTCCTAATATAATAGCCATTGTCCGTCACGCTTGAATATGAGTGCGCGGTTCGTGCGATGCGGAGAAATTGCATTTAATTTCTGACTGTGGCGAATGTGGTAGCAAGAAACGCACACCAGGATATGGCAAAGCCTTTTGTGAGATGTGAAGTCTGGAGTAAGCGCTCGTCGGTTTTGTGTTGCTGCGTTTGGTAGGAATCTGGCTTCGATTGCCGTGAAGATGTTATCATATTATTTTATTTATAAAGGAATTTATATATATATATATATATGTATAAATTATTCTTCTACTGTCAATGTGAGTTGCAAAGATAATGCTGCAATATATTTTATTATCCTTCAAAATAAAATGCATATTCCCGTCAGCTTTGTTGATACGAAAGTATTTTATTTTTTATGATAGCACATATAATGTACGCTGAATTGATTTGCGACTCTGTATTCTATATGGCCATGTCCATAAAATTACTCCCTACAACTCATTCGTTTGGAATTTTATGAAGATTTTATCAACTTTCGATTCATTATGATAAGTTAGAATCTTAACAAGGCGTTATCCGAGCTCGTTTTGCACTGCCACAAACTGTAACTACTCCCTACGTCGTACAGAGAAATAAGTTGGCCAAGAAGTTGCTTGCTTTTGTAAAATCCGAACTTTCATTGAATGTCTGAGGAAAATCGTGGCATCAGACTCCATCCTGAACAAGTTTAATATAATCCATTCCCTCACTTTGTGTTTCTCGAAGATCGTTGTTATCCTCCCATCTACACTTCCGTCTACCGAGTTATCTCTTCTCTGGGGCTTTCTAAATAAAATTTTATTTCAAGACTACTCTTTTCTGGGATGTTGCGACTTCATGTCCGTAGAACTTGACCGACGTTTCAGAGTTGCTTATCTGTCTCATTGTCCTGATGATAGAGGTATTAATTTCTGAAACATCGATAAATATCTGCCAGACTACACCACGCAACATCCCAGAAGCAGCCACTTTCTTATTCGTCGCCATGAGAACCCGAAGTCTCAACACAATTCTTACGTCGTGGAATGTGTTATGTTTTTATTTCTTTACCTCAATAAATGGCTGTAGGTGATTGGTTGATTACAAGTTATGGTTGTCACGGTTTGTGTGTACGCAATTTTCGCTAGTCGACAAGTGGTTTGAAGGTGTCTCATCGAACTGTTTCTGCAGCTCGCTGACTCTGACAGCTGACTGCCGTCTGACCGCTAGTAGTCTTCCCTGGGTGTGGCTGGACACATGTTGTATGTGGAATTACGTATTTAGCGACTCACTAGCGTAAGAACTATCTCGAGTCCACTGATCTGCTGCTACACAAATTACTGGCAACGTCTTGAGAATTTTATACTTTACGTAACACGTGCAGATGTCTGGTGGGGTATCATCTCTTGGGGTTATGTGACGTTTATTGAGATATGTGTTAGTATAATTTATCGATGCCAGGGTAATGCGTCCTAAAAGTGCAGGATACCAAATAATGTCCTCAAAAATCATACTTGTATTGATTTAAAATAGTGTTTATGCAATTCAGACATGAACATAAAGCTGCAATTCTGTTCTAATTAATCAGCAATCATACTTCGGTTGTAATATTTGAACTTTTAGTCCTGTAGTGAGATTTAAGATTATCATGCACCTGAATGCATGGAAGGGAGGTCTTGCACAGAGAAAGCAAACGGTTTACTGCGGTCAGAAAGTTCGATTACGTTCAGTGTTAAATAGTTAACATGATTCTCTGCGTGCAGCATAAATATTTATGCTACACGCAGAGAACATTTCTCCTAAATTTGTATATGTGAATGTATCTATCACAATTTGTGTATATACATCACTGATGCCTGTTTTATGTTTGGTACGTCTGTCTTCGGCTTACGTCTTTCCGGGTTTTCTTTACGTATTCTGTAGTCCATTTTCTGTACTTTATAAGGAAAATTAGAATATTGATCGTGGCAATATGTCGGCTATTAACAAAATAACAGCTGATTCATTTTATGTAATTTTTTTGTTATTACCGTTTCTGAGGGATATACTGCCTTCAAGTTACGAGTCTCTGCCTGCAAGTCCAGAAGAAAGACATCTCTTCGTCTCTGTGAGAATCTCACGTCTCGTCTTTGTACAGATTTCGCATACAAAGTTGAGGATTGCCTCAGGTGTACTCGGAAAATAAGTTATTCTTGTTTCTATCATTTGCCTTGTACTAATTTTGTCTTAGAACGAACAGAAGGGAGAAAATTGTAGTCTGGTTCCTAATTACCTAATTTGCAATTCTGCATATATCGTTTGCATTAATGTTCCTTTATTGTAAATGCACACCCATTATTGTAGCCTGAATCTTTAATGGAAATTGCTGTTGGTATTAATTATTTCACTTGTACTTTGTTGAATGTTTAATATACTTAAATATAATTAAAATGTTGGAGGTCTTATTAAAATAAATATGTTGTGACATTTACTACAAATTTTTGTACTGCACTGCATTTTTTAAAGGAAATTTTCAAAATTGGATTTGAGATTCTTGTAAAGTTTTATATTACCGATATGAAGAAAAATGTAATTTGCCGTTGTATTTTCGCGGATGGTTCCATTGCTAGTTGTACCTTAAAGCTTTAATTCCGAAAGTTATTTGCACGGGTAATTATTTAGCGAGATACTTCAGAAATCTCGTTTAAAAACATGTAAGGTGTTTGTGGATGTTATTATTATCAACCTAATTGATTCAAAATTTAAATTGGTCTGTGTATTTATGTAAAACTCTTCAATATCAAATTTCGAAAAAATTTGACCTGAGGTACTCGAACTGAAATATAGGGACAGACAAGAGGACGATCACAATGTTCTGTATATATTTAGTTTGTGTAAAGAACTTATAATTATCTCGACTTAAAAACTACTTTTCAGAGATCACTCACCAAACAAAATTTCCATGCTTATGTAGAGACATGTGATACAGTTCTTTTTTAACCTTATGTGCCACATCTTGGTGGAATGGGGGCCCTGAAACTGTGAATTACATGGCGTCAAACAGCGCCCTGTAATTTTGTCGCTGAGTGAAATGGTTTAAGTACAAACGTTGTGTGACATCTCGCATCCGGAGTATTGTGAAACCTGCCATTTTCATCCTCCCTGGTTGAGTGATAGAGCGCGCGCCTCTGGCTAGGTGTGGGTCTTCATGCTAGCTGGGCTCAGCTGAGGTTCCACCCAGAATTGTGGATTCTGCCACTACGTCTCTGGGTGTAAATATTAGCTCCGTGCTCAGAGTTTATTTCGGGTACATAGTCACAATCCCAGAAATGTCTCATTGTGAGTAGAAATTTGGAATAAATGGAAAGACCGACAGAAAATACTTGTTTTCAGCAGTGAAAAATGTTACACTTGAAGGACGTAACACTTTGAAAAACTAACGAAATTTTTAGGCGTTTTTTACGCTCTAGCGTCAGCGAATTACACCTTAGGGTCTATTTATATAGGAAGGTAAAGATAACGACACGAGCCCTTGCTGATTTTTCAGAAAATATTATTCAACGTTTTCCAAAGGAACTGTTTATATCGACTCTGAGCTCGTCCGTTCCACGAACGAGTCTCGCCCAACTTACGTCTCCAACGATATTTTTCCTAAACAGTTCCATTGAAAAACGTTGAATAATATTTTCTGGAAAATCGGCAAGGGCTCGTGTCGTTATCTTTACGTTCCTATATAAATAGATCCTTATGGTCTCGTCCATATCTATCTGCGTTCTTCCTGCGGAGGTAGGCTTCATGCATGATCGGTGGAGAGGGGATTGTTGTGTTGCAGTGAGGAGATGTCATTGGTTGAACACATTGTTGAGCAACACTGACTTCGGACCACGGTGTAAGAATGACCAAATGCGAAACAGTGGCTTCGGATTACATGAGTACAACAATGACCTACGTGATGTGGCGTGAAGAATCCGTGTTGAATGTTAGTGGAGTCGAAAGGTTACGCCTTGTTATTCTTTATATAAATTTGGTGAGATTTGAGGTTTTCAAGGCAACGGATATCAAGATTCTTATCTTCTGAGATGTAGCACCGTATAGTCTCGTAGATATTGACCGACGTTTCAGGAGATTAACTAATCAGGGTGGCAGTAAATTCCTCTGATATTTCAGCCTATGTATGTCAGACTACACTGTACAGCATCCCAGAAGACAGATATATTTATGTCCGTCTTTTAAAATGATGATTCCTTTTCAATAGAAGAAAGGCCTGCTTATGAAATGAGAGTGTACCTAATAAATTCTATTAAGAATGGAAAGTGTATGAGTGTGTTCGTTCGAAGTTTTTCTCGTCAGTGTTGTAAGTCTGTCTTAAAAGCTACGACTTCCTGTTGTAGGTGTAGCAAATGAAACTGTGATGTACATGTTTTTGATACTAAATAGTCTGAATTTTTGTTAGTGTCTCATTGTTTATTATTTATGTAGTGTAATTACTCCTGTGAACTGAACGAATTTACCTTTGTTGTTCCAGGTACATCAGATGTTTCAGCAGAAGTTGAACAGGAATCCTGTTACTGTAGGCATGTGGTCATCGTGGTCCCACTGGAGTCCTTGTACCAGGTCCTGTGGGGGCGGAGTTGCAATGCAGAGCAGATACTGTAACAATCAGGAACAGATGTGAGTACTTGCCGTTCACTGTTTCTGCATGCCAACACTTTGGTGTTGTGTCTTTGCAAAATAATAATTTTTTTCCCTTATGGCTATCGCGGTAATAATACTTTCTGGAGTTAACGGCGCGCCAAGAGAACGTGCATACGTATTTTTTGAATATCCTATGTCTCAGTTTATTGTTGGTGTAACTTAAGTGACCTTCGCCACGCTTCCAGAGGATTTATTGGTTATTTTTATTATTATTTGTCAAACGAGTCATAAATACATAGTCCTATTTAGTTTATTTTTAGACCAATGTCCTTACTGATTTATAATAGGGTTTCTCTTTTTTATTTGTGGTATTTAGGTATTCACATAATAGCGTGATAAAAATAGACCATAGCTAATTTGTATCTCTGCTTATGAACTTAGCCATGAAGACGTATGGGGAGGTGGAAATGAAAATCTACTTAATCTTAGGACTAGATGGAGAGTTGATTAGTTTCACACTCCGACTGTTTTACCCCCCGGTATCATTTGGATAATAGGTTGGATCGATCTCAGAAACGGTCTGGTCGCGTTGTCGAAGTGAGAAGTTTTCTACCCTTCGCGATGTCGAGGGAATTGATCGTCGCTTGTTTGTCTCGAAGGTCTTAGACAAACGATGGTAATACGCGCTACGATAGTCTTCTTCTGGGATTGAATTCCTGCCTGGGAGGAAAAAATAGGGCTAAATCACTCGACATCTTGTGGTTCTGAAACACGACCGTCCGCGTGTTAAGCATCAGGAAAGTTGATCTGTAACAGAGAAGTTGGTAGCTGTGAAACTAACCGTGTTACACATGTGCCTGTAGACAATCAGCAGATGGCTTCAACGTGCAAGATACCGGATTCCATTTTACATTAAGTGGAAACATACGGGAGACCTTCGTCCATGTTTCTTTAATGCTAGATTTGTATTACACTTCTCCCCAGTATTTTATTAAACGCAAGTGATCATGTTGTTGCCAGCATCCGTGGCCATGCGAACAGTCTCGTATTCTGGAATTTGTGGAGTTTTTAATGGCGGTGAGTATGAAGATTTCTGTCTTCTGGGCTGTTGCGCTGTGTAGTCTGGTAGAGATTTGCCGACGTTTCAGAAGTGCTTACTGTGTCTAACATTAGGGCGACAAGCAACTGTGAAACGCCAGGAAACTTCTTTCAGACTACACAATTTAACAGCCGAGAAGACAGCCATTTTGTACTGGCCGCTGTGAGAACATAAAATCTCACGAAAGATTTTTGAACCATTTCTTTCTTTTAGATAAGACTTTGTTGTCGAGCGCTTTACATGACGTCGTGAGTAGGTTTTATCTCAAATACTTGCGAAACATTTCTTGAAATGATTTTTTATTTTGTTAGGTTAAACATGAAAAATGTTTGTTTAAATTGATTTTTATTGACTTGTTAAATATTGACTACTAATTAATTTAAACTTATCATTATGATCATACATGACATTGTGTGAAATTCAGGTCAATTTTCTCCCTCCGTTTAGCGCGTATCAACTGCATTTTTTTATATTTTCAGTTCAAGAAGTCAAATGTTTGGTAATTTAAAATAATCTAAAGCCGTTTCTTACAAAAAATTTCAGATTTTAAACTTTCAATGTGATAAAGGACAAGATAAAATTGGTGATTAGTAAATGCAAGTGCGATATTTTTCTAAAAAAATTTCGTTACTTTCCGTAATATCACAGGCCTGAGACTTAGAATTCCTTTAAAGCATTGAATACACGATCTCGTATTACCAGTGATTTATTCTCAGTTTGGACAGCTTCAAGAGAAAAGAATACTAACCAGATTCGTGTGATGTTTAACCACAAACACTTCCACTTACCACAGTTGATGTCAGTGTTGAAAGATGTGCCAGTTTGCTATTAAACATTAGCTTAGGTCTGACTATTGGAATAGATCAATTAATAGCATTCCAGAATGAGGTCAAATATAAACACGCCTTCTTCCTGTTTAAAGTTGTTGCAATGAACTTACGTCGGCAATGCCTGACTGGTATATCAATCAATTTGCAAGTTAACTCAGCGAGAGAGATTCCATGCTCATCTGAAATGTTAGAGCTGATCACCATAAAGGGTTGCCACTGGACCCTATCTTGAGCCATCTGAATCCTGTCCATTGTCCCATAACTTATTTCCGTAAGTTAATTTTAATTTTATCATCTGTTTTATGAGTCTTTCAAGTCATGTGCTGTACATATTCAACCCCATCAACAGAAGTTTACCTGTTAAAGTCGTTCTGAGATATTTTAATTTAGCCACGTTTTCAAAGGTTTTTGTATCAGATGTCCTTAAGTTATTTTTCCTGCATTCTATTTAGTGTGTGTACGAAATATGTTCTGTGTCACGAATAATTGATAACTACAGAATTTTTCTTAAAATTAGCACCAAAATCTCCTCGTTTCGGTGTGACCCTGTTTGTTACCCCAAACAAATATAATTACCCAACTCTGGTGTAGACTGGAGCCTTGTGTTTCTTCAGAAGTAACGAGTCCTTCCAAATACGTAGCTGTGTTCACACGCCGTTTCTGTCCTGTGTTTGTTTACCGTGTCATCAGAATTCATAACTTTAACGAGTTTGTGGAGACAAATATAATCTGATTTGTTATTGTCACAGAAACCGTGGAAAAAGCCACGGATTTGTTGAGGTGACATTAGTCCAGTGTTGCCACTGGGCACTGCAAATTCAAATTTCCCAATCGCACTAAAAAATATTTACCTTTTATCTTCGGCTTGCGTTACTTTTGGGACACACTGTAGTTGTAATAATTTATTTGTACAACAGTTTGTGTAATAATTTATAATTTTGACTAGTTATTTTTTGTCTGAATACGATACGCATTTTTTGAAAGTATCTAATACAAATACGCGTTAAATTTTAACTACGTATCGTGATTGTTCTGTTATGGACCACCCAAGATTAGTATCGTCCAGTTACTTAAACCCAGTAAGCATGTAACTTCAGTCGGATTTCCTCGCTTCATTAGTTCCACCTGCCTTCACTGCTTTTATGGCTGGCCGAATCCATCGGCAGCGAACCGTTTAATGACTGTGTTTTAACTGCACAAGTTAACATGGCATTAAATAAGATGATGACGATTAATGCTAAGTATATAAGGATTTGTAAGAATACGAGCAGATCTATTCGAAGGTACGGCCATATAATTCCTTTGTTGAGTCAGACATGAAAACCTCACGTAGTTTCGTACATGAACGACGTCGTATAACAGAGTACTTCCTGAATACAAGTCTGAGACATTACCAATAGACCAGTCTATTACATAATATTTCCTGGTTTATTTAAACCTTTATATTGTAGTAGTGACTTGGGTTTGACTTGTCATATGCTTAAATGTCCAATACCTCAGAATTTTGTTGGTGTAAAACATTTATGAATTTTGCATGATTCTCGTAATAAAGACTGATTATTTCTGTAAATGACTTCATCAATTAATATTTGTAACGAAGACCCGTTGTTCTATTTGAAGTAGGAAATAATTTTTAAGTGTTGTTCAGATAAGTTTTAGATGTTTCATAGGATTAAAACACATTATCGATTACATTGGGAGTTCTAAAAATAAACTTGTCTTTACCTGGATCCAGATATACGAGAATTATTAAAATACCTCAGACATTTTAACCGGATTCTGGGCCGGAAACTAGACCAATGATATCTCGAGTACGAAACAGGAGTTTTGCAATTTAAGACCCAGTTATAACTATATATACCACCTATTTCAATATTAAATAACTCTGCATTTCACTCGCAGAATACATTAATACGTTTGGTGAACATCGATTTTTTCCCTTAACCAACATTAACCAGCTGATTTTTGTGGTGGTGAAGTGTTTTATTTCAGAAAGAAGTGAGTATTCAATTGTTTTTTGTTTATCGGAAGTGCAAGCGGGCAGTCTGATGAACTTGATAGGCGAAAATTTCTCTCTGTTCTCCCTCCGTCGTTAGTATCTCTTATTACCCTACCCTTACGTCTGCGTCACTCTTATTTATTTATTTGGCTTTAAAGGGACTTGGGTAACGTTTAGTTGAACGTATAGTTATTATATTTACAAAACAGATTTAATTTAATCGTAAATGCTAAATTTATCAAGCAAAATAACAACAGTGAATGCGTACAGACTTTGTCCTTTGTTTTTATTTACGGACATGAACGCATTAAGGGGACAGACAGACAGACCGACTGACTCCAGTGGTTTGGCATTGAATAATTCGCAACTTGACCCTCAAAAAATTGACTTAATGGACTGAGTCGCTGGATGCTGCAGAAGCTAGGCAGACTGCTGGTTGCGACAGCATCGCATACCAAATTTAATTAGAAGCGACTTCCACTAGACGCAGAACATAGCCGCTCTGAAATGGCTGGATGAACATCCGAATTCCATCTGCCTGCTGTTACAGCATACAACGATGCCAGCAGAGAAAAATAAGATGTGGGCGTGTCCCATCCGTACATTAACACACACAAATGTTACAGTTAACCATGACGTCATTAATTGTTATTTATCTCATGTTCTATAAAGGCGTTAACCTAACGTTTCGGTACAGTGGTTAGAACTCTGGTTCGTATTCAGAAGAAGGTCGAGGGTTAGAAACGTAGTTTCTGTTCTTGTCTTGTTTGGAGATTTCATTGTAGTCTTATGGTTATATATTAAAGTTTCAAGGCCACATGTTTCCTCATCTTCAGCTTTGAAGATGGAGGGAATTCGTTTATACGAAACGTCGGCTTATAATCACAAGATTACACGGTGCAACGATCTAAATGTGGGTTTCTTGATTCTTTCTGAACAGATTCGGGGATATTTCCTTGAAATAAGTTACCATATCGCGACAGTAGTGGCAGTAACAGTTGTAGTAAGGTAGGAGCTGCTACCAATTTGCATGGTTCAAGACCGATGAATGTCTTGAGCTTGTCCCCGTCCACACGTCTCGTAAGTCATCAGTACAGCTTTGCTACGC